ACGAAAATCCCCTCATGTCGTTTGCGCTGTTAAACACGTTCTTCGTCTACCTTGCCCTTGTGCGTCTACTTGAAACCATTGTGCGGTAACCAGTGTGTTGCTATCGTTGTTGCGTTGATTAATAGTGAACTGCTGTTGGAGTTCTGTTTTTACAAAGTTGATTGAGGCTGTAAGCCGCCCTTCAAATTTTTTGCTAGTCCACTAACATTACTCCTAGAATAGCATGTATTGTGGATTTTCACGTAACAGAGGAGAATCCATCATACTACACGCGTGCCTATTTCCCATTGAGTAATGCCACGCTTGCGAACTTTCTGTATAAACCTCAGTTTTCCGTGCCCAATTTAAAATGCATTTGATAGAGAATTGCGGTTTTAATGGTGTTAATTATTATATTTCCCTAAATACGTAATTGTAGTGCAGTTTGAAGTTGCTCATAACTTTTTTGTGGTCAGTGAAATACAAAAAAAAAAGAACTCTGAATTTGTCTTGGTCATTTGCTCAGCGGCTTTCACACATTAATATACACCTGTGTGACGCCTGGCTGCTGCAAGGCTAATCAGCGTTTCGCTAGTTGTTTTTAATTGTAATTAGCTGGACGAAAATTGAAAGTGCTTGAGAATTTGAAGTTAGAAAAGTATGTTTTTGTGAGGTTCCTCAGAATGCATAAATCAATTATCTACATTGTGGTTGTTCTGTTCAGAATGTTTAATTAAACAAGAAGTCCTTTCTACGTTGCAACAGCTTTCGTTTCGTTTGTGTTAGCTGGTCACGCAAACAAATTCAATGCGTGCACGTTAGAAACGCATTCATTATACCACGCTCGCACGTAACATTTAAAGAAGTAAAATAGAACAATCGACATAACGGATATCATGGCTGTCTATTGGAGCAGCATTGGCAGTGAAAACATCAAAGGAGAATGTAAACTGAAATAAAAAACCGTTAGTAGCGACCACATTAGGTTGTTAGTAGCGTGCACATCCGCTTATCGCCACCGTTCGCCATTGGCAGCGCCACTGGTACCATTCCAAGCAGCAGCGCACGCAGCGAATTCATAATAAAATCAAATTTCTTCGGCACCATAAATGACACAAATAAGGTGCCACCATTTTTTTTCCGGTATCACACCTTGTTTAATAAGGTAGCACACCTTATTACATTTTATTACCTGCGGTGCACATCATAATTTAACTGAGTGAAAATTCTCAGATGATATTGTAGCACTGACTTTAGTTTTTCAACAAAGTTACAGCAGTCATCGAGTGTGAAATGCCATTTGCTTCCTTGAACGACTGTGTTCTTGTGCTTCGTTTAACAAGGATTCTTTGATTGGTTGACAGGTAGAGGTAAATGTTCTAAAAACTACCATATGATTATAAGAGACGCCATAGTCGAAGGCTCCGGAAATTTTGACCACCTAGGGTTCTTTATTGTGTGGCTCTTAAAATCTGAGCACATGGGCCTAACACATTTTCCCTCCATCAAAAATGCAGCCGTCACAGCCGGGATTCAATCCCGCGATCTGCGGGGTCAGCAGCCCAGTATCTTAGCAACTAGACCACCACGATGGGGCAATAAGTAATCTTTCAAAGGCATTAAACCTACAGCAATAGTGAATAGGTCGGGTAGCATTGATTGCAATATGAAAAGCGTGCATACTTTTGCACCATGTGGCACAATCAAATTCACTCTCGTGAAGGAAGCGTTTTGTTACTCCGCGCTTCTGTTGAAGTAAAGCAATGAATTATGAGAGCTAGTATTTGGTTTTTGTCAGTAAAGTCTTCCTGTACTGATACAGATGGTACCAAAGTGGTATTAGTGTTTCAATTGAACCCGAGTGATGGTTGATTCGATCATGTATTGGCATACCCGTCACGCTTCCATCTTAGCTATAAGGTTGAGATGCGATGCAGGTGTATCTGCTTGATTTTACTGCATGTTACTATGTTACGTTGTATGGGGAGAAAGTGAAAGGTGTGAGGAACGAAGGAATTTCGTGCCCAGTTTTTTATTAAGAAATTCAATTAGGACTGCAACCAGTCTAGTAGAGTTCACAGTCCTCTTGACAAACTCTTGTAATTTTTAATTACCTTATGCAGAGTTACAATACTTACTTGACTGATTTTAATCAATAATATCTCAATCTAACTCTTCATTTGCAACGTTTTAAAGCCCAGTAATCATTCACTATGTAATTTACATCTTTGAAACTTGCTACTCTGCATTAAATTTTTCTGATATGCTAAGAAAGCATGCTAAGTGATATATAAAGAAAGCATGCTAAGAAAGCATGCTAATGTACCACGTAACCAGACGCTGCCACGGAACGTCTTGAGCACCATAAGACACGCTCTCAGACAGAAGTTTAAGCACACTGGCAAAAACTTCAGACAGACAACAAACTTCTTTTTGTACAAATATGCTGTCAGAAAAAAGAGGCACGCAGACAGAACATTAAATTTAGCTGCATTATAGTTAATGTTATGTGCCTGATGTTTGACTCTGAGGAAAGACGCCAATACATCGGTGTATATTTGCCCCCTCTGGTATTTGAAATAACAGGCGAAACTAATAAACAGCAATGATTGTCGTAGGCAGCTGAGAACGCCACAACTTCCAAGTGGTGCACTGCACCACTGCAAAGCTGCGCTGCTATAGGCCGAGTGATAGCGCACTTGCCAGAGAGACATACTTAGAATGGTTACGCTCAGGCGCTTTCTGTAATAACAGACCAAAGCACACCTTCATACGTAAACACTTCCAACTGCAAATGTATTGTCCAACTAAAAACTTAGTATACGTTGTGGACTAAGTTTTTAGTTTAGGTCTAGCCAAGTCATCCGCTTGGACTGTGCGTGCAATCCATGTTAAATACAGTAATATCAACATTGACGAAGATCCCTGATAGAGGGCATGCTAGAACGCCTGTGGCTTAGAAGCGTCGATATAACGTCTTAAGGCTTTTTGGCACAAAGAGAACAGACACAAAGGGATGAACGAGATGACAGGCTGTGTGGCGTCTTAGTGTGTCGTCGCGCTATTCATTTCGTGTGTCGCCGTAGCGATACACACCCTAAATATCATAAAACAGCAATCGCGAATTCATGAACATAACGGTCCTTTTATCTTAGAAATATTCAAAAGTTTCAGTGTAGCACAGGTGAACATTTTCGAATCAACCAGGCAATGCGTTCGCACCCAAGTAACTCCCAAAGTTTTTTTTTTAATGTAGACCAGTGCACTGATAACTCATAACGAAGCTACATGTCACATACTACGTACCAAAATCATCAAAATGGTGGATACAAATATATAAAATAGTTCTTTAACTAGCACATCTGTAATGTTTGCTACTGACTGCGAAAATAAAAGTTTTTACAAAGTAAGGAATTTTCAGCCCCTGTTAAAGGCACTACTCTTCCCTTTTTAAGAAATATATATTGCGACTCAACCTGTGCATTTTTTCTGTTTTGGTTGCACTGGAGAATGCATTCTCAGCAGGCCCGGGTCAATGTTACTGCAGACTAGTGTTCCGCATATAACCTACTTCATAAGTACAGTATTACTTTTTCCCACTCTTTAATTTGAATATATATAAGAATATAATTTCTTTCCTAGAAATTGTCGTTTGCAAAATGTCAGTAAAAAGAAGGAAGAACAAGAACTCAGCCTAGACGGTACTCGTCAATTAAGTAGTACTGCTGTAGTACAACGTATAAAAATTACGTTGAAACTACGTATCAGCATCTTAACTACTATGCATGTTATAGACATGTTTCCCCCCTTTGCTTGTAAATGTATATTATTCTGACGTTAATGTTCGTAGCGCCTACTAATCGGTGAGTGAGGGAAGTTTCAGAGCAGTGCAGCTTGACGAATGTTGCCTCTTTTTAATGTATAAGTGGTGCCATTGTTCTAGGATGTAATGCGTATGGTAATCAAAGCATAAAGTATTGCATAAATGGGCTAAATAGACCTGAACAAACTTTTGGACGGAATATGTACTACTATTTATCCTGACTGGAGAGAACCTGGAAAGGCTGCCACACTTCTTTTTTTTCCCTTGGTGTAAGCCGCTGTCTCTTCGTTACAAAGTTTTCTTCAATTTCTTACTGTTTTCTGTCGGCTAAATTGAGCTTCAACTAGTAGATCACTGGATGTATGCGTGTCTCGTAATTTTGTAAAGTTATGATTCAATGATTGACGCAATCATATGAGGAATGCAGCGAGAGGAATGATTCTCGTGACGCGAAACCTCAAGAATTTTTTAGTGCTAACAGAGAGTACTGGTATAATAACGTATCTGAATGCAAGACGGCGGGTTAATGAAAATGGCTAATACGGATATGCGCAGTTATTTGAAGACCTCAATTCATGCTGGTTGCCGTTCATGCGTTGCTCTCTACAGTGTGGTACAATATATTTAGCAACGCACCATGACATTGTAGTTGTGGCACATTTGAAGACGCACCATCACCACTTACTTGTTCTAGCCTTCACAAGATGTAATTTCGGATTTTCGTATCTTAATTGTTTTGCCAAGACATTAAAAGATGCATGTTTAAAAGCTTTAGATTATAGCAGTTTTACCAGCTGCTTCTCCGCCAAACAGCTTCCTTTTTACTGAATTTTACCCGGAAACCGAAAATTAACACTCATGTCACCGTTAAATATAATTTAAAAACGAGAACTCAAATTTCGCTCGAGACAGTCGGTTATAAGGTGCCCGCAAAGTGTCTAAAAATATGTGCAAAGGGTGTTCCCGAGTTTAAGACTTGTTTCGTTCTGGAACTACCACGTTGACATAATGAATGCAATCACCACACGTACAAGTTATCTCTAATATTTTTGCTCTAGCTTAAGAAAAAAGCCCTTGGACAACACAGGTTGTACCAGCTCTATTCAAAGTCACTGCAGCTCGTGATGAGAATTATTCCACAATCAAAGCTTCGATTTCTTCCAAGCACACAGCCATATGAAAGAGTGTTGTCACTTACCCAGAGCGGCGTCATTGTCGCCCCCCAGCTGCTTCGTGCAGCCCACTGAAAAAGCCTGTGCCCCAGTGAGATGTCTCGTGAAAATCTCAAGCACTCGCCATCATCGTGACGTTTCCCTTCCCCTGCGACGAGCCCGTGTATGAGTTATTGAAGGGATTCACTCAAACGTGCGTACTTTCTTCATTCCACGCATGTGTGCCGTGCTTGTTAAATGCACTTGGTCTTCCTGATGCTCTGCCACCCACTTCTCGCATCTTTTTGCGCCGTTATTTCCTTTCGCGACTTCGTTCCAGAGTCACCACGAATGCATAATGAAGCAGACAAACTGAACAGCACATTTCTGATGCACACCCTCTTCCTAATAGAGGGAGCGCTGGCAGAGCCACTTTAGGAGTCGCTTTCTTATTAATCGAAAATCTGAAGACATGACACACAAGCCAAAAGTAATAGAGGCTTGTCTACATGAGAGCTTACTGAGAGGATCACGAAAAAAAATTGCTTAAGTTTTTCATCAGTGGCACTGTTAGGTGGTGGAGTGAAATCATCAAGTACAGAAAAATTCTTACCATTCAGTGGGTCCCGAGTCAATAAAGCTCAGATGCTCGCGTGTAGTTACAGCAAGATAGCATTCAGTGGTGACCTCTACAGGAGATGATCTAGAGATGAGGGCATACTGGGGAACTTTTTTCCATCACCTTTCTAGTATATTGAAATGTGTAGGGGCACCTTACAGAGAATTATGAAAAGGAAAGCATCAGGTACATAGTGTAAAGCGACGTTTGCGTTGGCTGCTTAGAGCAGGGCTTCTAAAAAAAAACATAGCAAGAATGGTAGGAGCCATAATTCGGAAAAAAATACTATAAAGGTATTTGTTTTTTCTGGGCAATTTGATGCAACATTCGAGGTATAAATAAACATGAAAGGCGTGATGAAAGACACTGTACCAAAAGAGCAGTGCTGAACTACCAACTTAAGATTACCTGATGAAAGTGCCTTGTTATAGTGTTACATGTCAGCACCGTCATGAGGCCACGCGCACAAAAACCAGTGCGTGTGGTTCGTGAATACGGTGGTTAGTGTCCGCGATCAGCGGAAAGATGAGTGCAACGATCTAGCGAACAAAGAGCTCCATCTGTAGTATGGTGAGAGAACATGTACAGCACCGTATAACTGAGCGCTCCGTGTCTGCAGCACATGCTGACACAAGGAAGCAGAAGAAAGGAATCAATAATAATAAAAGGGGAGGGTGTAAACCAAAGGGCAGAAGCGGCATGAGAGGCTTGTGGACCAAGTACTTCAGCGCGCAGAAGGTCGTCGCGAATTGCCTTGGGAAGCTGGCTTGCAAAGTGGCAGTTGCGAGAATTCTCCGATCAGGTCTCATGTGGTGACACTAATTTACCGCGGACGTGAGCAGCAGTGTCTGTGGCACTGCTAATACACGTGCAAATAAGCAGCTCCCTGCTCTCGTCTATCTGCAGCACCAACAAGCCATGTTGATCAATCATCTCTCACGCATATTCGATGCCAGCCGTCTCTTCCTAAATGCATCATATCGTAATATATTCTTCTGCAAGGCTAGCTACGTTGCAGTCAAGCTATTAATTCGCACAGAGTAAAAGTTTGGCAGAACCCCCGTACCTTGGAAATTGATGTCATTCAAAGCATGCGGATGAAAGGTAACTGTGCTGTAAATTTTCTTGCAAGGTTACAGCACGCAACAGATTTGGACAAATGCGCGCACAGACATACGTTAAACCACCCCATATGTTTTATTAAACCTAGTTGTTTACAGTTGCGTAACTATCTTTATAAGAACATGGATAATAGCAACACCAGATGCGTTAAGCAGGTGTGAAGCGATGGTTCTCGAAAGGATGGTAGCCCTGGACACTGCAGTACTTAAATGAACTTCAGTTGAGGGCGCCTGATTACAACTCCCGTTAACTCCACGTAACGGCTGTATCATGGGGGTACCTATGTAATGTTTGTAAATCGTATAGCCAGCGCTGCAACCACAATTTACGTTTCACGAACATTAGAGTCTATTTGAAAAGTTGTTCTGATACCTGGCATGGCTCCGTGTTAGAAAACTTGGGTGTCACGCTGAATTCTGCAAGGTTCGATCCCTGCTGGGACACTGACAGTTATTCTTTGCATTCGTCGGGTCAACGCTGCCGCTGTCCACTTTTTCTAAACGCTCACGCGTTAAAATGGCCATGTATGTTCCCGCTGTTCCTGGGTAGATAAATACTGTCAATAACCTGTGGCACACACCAGCCTACTGGTATGTCTCACACGTCTGTCCGAAAGGGTCTCAAGACGTACGCGAAGAAACTGGTACATAATTCATGCGATGACCAGCGATTCATACTCGTCAAACCACCCTACCCTTCTATAGAAATTTTCGTTTACCCGACGTTAAAGGGGTAATCACGCAAGCACCCAGATTTAGGCAGATAGATAGATAGATAGATAGATAGATAGATAGATAGATAGATAGATAGATAGATAGATAGATAGATAGATAGATAGATAATAGATAGATAGATAGATAGATAGATAGATAGATAGATAGATAGATAGATAGATAGATAGATAGATAGATAGATAGATAGATAGATAGATAGATAGATAGATAGATAGATAGATAGATAGATGTCCTCAAAGTGCCTGCAGTACAAAAGAAAAACTTCGAACTTGATATGTCTTGCGCCTTGCGCTCCCTCGAACTGCACTAACCAAACTTTGTTTAACTCGGACTCACTTGGACTTCCACTCACGAAAGTTTTTTTTCAACCAGACTCGCTTGGACTGAAATGCACCAAAATGTTACTCACCCGGACTCACTCAGACTAATGACTTGATCTGAGTCTCTGTAAGCCCGAGTGAGTCGAATCATGAGTGACTTTGCCGACCTAGGCCTCAGATGATTTTCGATGGAGAGGAAAAATGCTGTAGGCCCGTGTGCTCATATTTGGGTGCATGTTTAAGACCTCCAGCAGGTTGAAACTTCTGGCGCCCGCCACGTCTCTCATAATCATTTCGTGATTTTGGGACGTTAAGCCTTACAATCAATCATTGTGCCTGAGACGGGCAGTCAGTGAACCTGTTCCTGTGCTTCTTCTCCCACAACTCGAGTGCCCTGTCTACTATGGGCACACACTGTAGACAGCATTTCAGAGGAAGAAAAGGCAACATTGACTCCGTACTTGACACTACGTTGATATGTTGCGCGATAGTTTATGTAAGAACGGATTTCCTGTACTCTCTTCTTTTCCTTTTTGTTGCACCTTCCCTGACGGTGTTATACTGTCTGCAGTAACTGCTCGCACAATGACGTAATTGTTAATTTCGGGTAAATTCTGAACTCGACAGGATTCAATTTGGAGAAATATTGTGATTGCCAAGAGTGTGAAGAAGGCTTTTTTAAACGATGAGCTGAGACAAGCGATGACAATTCTCCTCTTAGTAGTTTTAGAGTGAGAGAGCTATCATACAATAGAAACTCGTTCTGCAGAACGCGGGTTGTAAATCCAGCAGACACAAACTTCATGACAATGCAAGCATTCATCCATGAAGTGAATGATGTTATTTCTGGTTTCTTAAAAGCAAAGCTTAATTTAGTACTATGCAGTTTAGAAGCGCTGATCTCACCATCATTATAACCGCCATGATTATAATCAGGAACATCTGTCTGTACAAATCAAAATAATTCACATACCTGAAAATTTTTGCTACTCTAAAATCAGAAAAAGTAGCCTCAACATTGCGATCTATCAAAAAAAAAAGATCTGGCACAGTATCGGTGCCATGGGGGACGTAATACTGTACCACTTCTTTAAAAATTGTTTATTGTTCGAAAATTAGAACAATAAAGATAAGATGGCGTTCTTGGAATGCGATGCATGGGTAATCTAAGCTGTAGGTTTTAATTAGATCAGGCTGCGTTACATTTGTTGATCGTCTTCTGTATGACAAGTCCGCTGAAGTGAATCAGTAGCTAAGGGGCTCGACTGCAAACCCCAAGGTCGCGGGTTCAATCCCGGCTGTGGCGGTCCCACTTGGATGGAGGCAAAATTGTAGAGCCTTTTGTACTGTGCCATGTCATTGCAGGTTAAAGAACACCAGATGCTTGAAATTTTCGAAGCCTTCCATTACGGTGTCTCTTATATTCATCGTGGTTTTGAAACGTAAAACCCCGAATATTGTATTGTTTACGAGACCTGTAAACGAAGTTGGAGAGAGTTTCATTTACAGGGGATGGGCGGCAAGTGCGTACCGGTACAGCGCGTCGTTCTTTTCTACATTCTTGCGCTATATTAGTCGCTGCTGTTGGTTCACTAGATTGAACCCACCGTAGCATTACTCCCCTCGCAGATGAAGTCCTCCGAGCGAGGCATCCGCTAGGCCGTCGCTGAATGAACTCCTTAAGGCGGGCTACTTGTGTAACTTTGGTCTTGGATGATCTCCTCCCATTGGCAGTGAGGTGTACAATTCAATAGTCCATCTCATTAGGACGCTCAGTTATGATGTATATTGATTGATATGTGGGGCTTCACTTCGCAAAACTACTATACGATTATCAGAGATGCCGTAGAGAAGGTCCGGAACTTTCCAACATATGGAATACCGACCATATGGGAGACCACATGGTGCACCGATTTCTGGGCACACGGGACTACAGCACTTTCGCCTCTATCAAAAATGCAGCCACCGGAGCCGGGGATGCTCAGTTACAAAAAATGGTCCAACATAGTCAGCGAGTAATTTCTGGCACCGTCCGCGTTTACGTACTGGAGTCCATAACCACACTAAGTCGCCAGGCTCATAAGTTACTTGGCGGTGTCTGTGATTGTACCGTGGTTTGGACAGTTTTTGAAAAGCCAGAATTCACAATCTCGCGTACCACCAAGCCTCGTCTGCTCCACTAGAGTTTTCGCGATGCAATCGTCGTGATTACTAGAAAAATAAAAGATATTATCTAATGTGTTCTTCGCTGGATGAGCGTAAAGAAAGAAGAACTGGCTGTACCCAGTGGTCGCATGTGACGTATGGAAGCATATGTGACGAATGGAAGCACATCGTCCCAATTCATATGGTCTGAGCTTACGTACAGCTTACGTACAGTCAAGAAATTGATATGAGGGTTATGAGGGGCTGAATCTTACAGATTGGAGACACAC